TACATACATATATTTCCTACTTCTATCTGCTAAGAGAGCCTAGAAACACTAACACCCCAATAGAAGTAAGCACACCAAGTATCCAAATTTTGGATTCTAAATACCATTCTTCAATAAAAGAAACTACAGTTCCTTAGAGAAATGGTTAATTCCAGGGCTGGGCAGAGAAAACACAAGATGAGCCTGGAGTTTCTTCTAGAGTCAGAAAATACAGAAAGTTTCTTAAAGAAATAAAGAAAAAATATGGGAGCCAATCTCCAAGAGCTCCCAATGGCCAAAGTTGGAAAAATATGAGCAATAAAATGAATAATAATAATATTGGATTATACCCAAAGGAAAAAGTATCCTTGAGTTCAAACTAATACAAATAATAAATAGATAGATAGATAGACAGACAGACAGACAGAGACAGATAGATAGATAGATAGATGATAGATAGATATAGATAGATAGATAGATAGATAGATAGATGAGAAGTGACTCTTCCTTACAAAATAATTCCAATTAGTAAAAAAGGAAATAAAAAATCCAAAGTGTAATTGATGCAGGCAAGATCCACTGATGAATGAAAAATTTAGTTGGCAACAGTTTAAGAAGAAATGGCACATTTGCATATTCTCAAAGTATCTCCCCCTAAATATTTTTAAAGTTTATCTTTTCACATGAAAACTAGGCAGACACTGCCTTAATCAAACGATAAAGGTTAACAATACCCGTAATAAAACATACTGATATCATGTACCCCCTAATACAACATGCAGAGAAGGTCATATACATCTATGATATCCTTCCCAAAGTCCATAATTTCACTCTAACCATGACAAAACATTAGACAAAAACCAAGTTGAGGGATATTCTACAAAATACTTGACTAGCACTCTTCAAAAGTGTGAAGGTCATGAAAGACAAAGAAAGACTAAAGAAATGTGGCAGGCTGCAGAAAACTAAAGAGATATGACAAGTTAATGTGATGTAGGATCCTGAACTGGATCTTGAAAAGGACGTTACTGGGAAAACCAATGAAATTCAAATAGTTTCCATTTTAATTAACAGTACTTCATCAATGTTAATTTCTTGTTTTGATAATTGTTCCATGGTTAAGTAAGGTCTTATCATTAGGGAAAGTTGGGTAAAGAATATATAGGAACTCTACTTGTGTGTAACTCTTCTGTAAATCTAAAATTACTTCAAAACAAAAAGTTTGTGCCTAAAAGATTTTAATGGTAGAGCAAGAGTCTTCTACTTAAAAACAAAAACAAAAACAGGATATAAAATGGAAAGTAGAGAATTACTTCAACCATGTTATAGGAAAATGAAAGACTCAGAGAATACTCAGAAAGCAAATACTTCAAAGCATGAACAATGATTCGTGTGGAAGTTAGAATTATAGATAGTTGTTTTTCTTTGTATTTTTTGTTATTTTCTGAAATTTTCTAAAATAAGCACTGATTACTTTTACAAGCAATGAAAGTAAAAAAATAAAATAAAAAAAAATTTATAGATCTTGCACTAATAGTAAAGATAAATTAAGAAATGCATGACTAGAGAGTACGAAATCATTTTGGTTGTCAAAGAGTGAAATAATGAGTATCTAAAACACAATCAACAGAATTAGGTATACAAATAAAAATAGTGAGTTAGAGAAAAAGAGATTTTCAGCCTAAGCCACTGGCTAGCTAATGGTGCCATTACCAAAACAGACAGAAGAAATTAACAGACAGCATAATAAATTCCGCTGTACACAAATTGGGCTTGAAGTACCTGTGGGTCATCTGGGAGAATATATGCAACAGGTAATTGCAAACAGAGGATGAAAGCTTAGATGAGAGACTGGGGCTAGAGAGAAAGGATGTAAAAGTATCGAATTACAAGTATTCAATAAGTCCATGGAGATTGTTTAATACTCTTACCATCATAATGTAGAGCAATAAAAGAAAGCCAAGAAAAGAATCAGAGAGAATTCACCTGGCAAAGAATGAGACTTCTAAAGAAAAGCTAACAGGGAAAAATGAAAAACTGCCAAAGGATTGGAAGGGAAAAACTAGGAGACTGGTGTACCTGAATCCAACAGAAGGAGAAATTCTTACTTTCTAGCATGCTTTGATAGAGTTCAAGTAAGAGAATTAAGTCACTTCTAGTAGATTTGATAGTAAGGAAGTCATTATTAATCACCAAACAAACTATAATGAAGATATGAATCTGCCTGTATAGAACTGAGGAGTTAAAGAATAAGTAATTGTCAGTGAAAGAGAAAAATGGATTAGTACAAGCATACATTAGTACAGAAAAGATTTCTGTAATTTAGGCGTTTTCTTGCACTTAAACAGTCCCAATTTACTTAAAAGATTCAATTCTACACATGATGGACTATAGCCAGCTTAAAGACAACACTCAAGGCTTGTATTTCCAACAAGATAACCTGAAAAGCCTCCTACAACAAAACACCCAAACTGACACTTTAATATAATAGTAGACTTAGAAAAAAAGATAAAGAAAAAAAATGTAGAAAAGCAAGGTAAACAGAAAGTACAAATAAGAGAATAAAAATGAATGTTTATTAAAAATGTATCAGTACCAACAATCACTATAAATAAAACCAACTAAACGGACCATTAAAAGACAGATTATCCATACAGATTTTTTAAAATCCAGCAATTCTACACACAGGTGGTTATTCAAGAGAAATGAAAATATTTGTCTACAAAAGACTTATACACTAATGTTCATAGCAGCTTTATTCATAATCCAGTCAAAACATGGAAACAGTTCAAATATTCAACTAGACGTGCATGGATAAACAAATGGTAAAAACTATACAACAGAAAAGAAACAAACTACTGATATACCTAGCAACATGGATGAATCTCAAAAACATTTTACTGAGTAAAAGAAATCAGACATAAAAATGCACACTGAATGATTCATTTTTATACAAGTCTACAAAAAAAAACAAACAAACTAATATATATTGTGAAAAAGCAAATCAGTTTTCCTGGGGCAGTGTGAGAGGAAAGAAAATGACTGGTGGTGAGACACAAGCGACCCTCTAGGGACAATAATGAAAATGCTCTACATCTTGATCATGGTCATAGTCACACATGTATACACATTTGTCAAAAATCATTGAGTTGTACATTTTATTTTTATTTTTTATTTTTTTGTTTTTCTAATATTTTTTAGGGGAGGCAAGCCTTGGTTGACCTCACAGATTGTCAGCTTACAATCCTTTATTTTTTATTTTTTACTCCTACAGCAATGGGTCTTCCTAGGTGGTCTCGCATCCAAGTACTAACCAGTCTCCCATCCAAGTACTAACCAGGCCCAACTCTGCTTAGCTTCTGAGATCAGATGGGATCAGGCTTGTTCAGGGTGGCATGGCCGCAGACAAATTGTACATTTTAAACAGGTGCATTTCATTGTATATAAATAAAATTTCAACAAAGTTGATTTTAAAAAACTGATCCAGCCAAACACTTGTTTATAAGAAATTACACTCAAAAAATAAGGACACATAAAGGTTGAAATTATATAAAGGAAGGAAAAAGAAAGACATGGTAGAGTTAGTAACCAAAAGAAATCTATATAGTTATATTACGATCAGAAAATATATACTTTAAGGCAAAAAAAATGACTATGGATAAAGAGGTCTACTAAATAAGGACTACTAAATAATGATAAAACAAATAAACAGTAACAAAGAATAGATTTTATTGCTGTTTTAGTACCCAAGAACTTAAAGTATACACTTTTTTTCATGAGCATATAACACGTTTTTAAAACCTGACCATAAAACACTAATTTGTAAAGTTTTATGCACCCCTAAGTTCACTGAAGTGCTATTTACAATAGCCAAGATATGGAAGCAACCTAAGTGCCCATCAATAGATGAATGGACAAAGAAGATATGGTACATATATACAATGGAATTTTACTCAGCCATAAAAAATGAAATTTTACCATTTGCAATGACATGGATAGAGCTAAAGGGTATTATGCTGAGTGAAATAAGTCAGACAGAGAAAGACAAATACAATGATTTCACTTATATGCAGAATCTAAGGAACAAAAGAAACAAAACTAAAACAGACTCACGGATACATAGAACAAATTGGTAATTGCCAAAGGGAAACGGGAGTGGGAGGCAGGATGAAAAAGGTAAAGGGATATAGAAATACAAATTAGTAGTTACAAAATAGTCATGGGGATGTGGAGTACAGTATAGGGAATATAGGCAATAATATTGTAATAGCTATATATAGTGCCAGATGGGTACTAGAGTAATCCGTGGGATCAATTCATAGTATATAAATGCTCAAACTTTGTTAAAAAATAAATAAAATAAAAAACCTGATTTTTAATACGAATTATTTAAAACTGATTAAGAAGTACTGTACTAGGCATACAGTACTTCTTAATCAGTTTTAAATAATTCGTATTAGGAACCAGGCGCAAACCCTGTAACAATACAATTTAGCTGAAAGTTAATAACAAAAATATAACCCCAAGAATCTAACTTATGTATAATTTTTAAAATAAGTCTTCCTTTGACCCACGAGTTACAAAGAAGTCATAATGGAAATTAGAAAATATTTACAAATGAATAATTAATCAATATCGAATGCAGCTAAAGAAATACTTATAGGAAAATTTACAATTAAAGACACAGAAGACTGAATATTAATGAGCTAACAGTCCAATTTAAGTTAGAAAAAGAATAGAAAAACAAAAACAATAGTAGATTAGTGAATAAGAAAATAAAGATATAATAGAGAAGATTTACAAAGCTAAAATCGAGTTATTCAAAAAGACTTTACTCGACAAGCCCCTGATAAAACCGGGCAAGAAAAATAACCAAATGCATAAATATATAATATTAGGAATGAAAAGAGAGATTTATTACAGAAGCAGCAAAGATTAAGGCATGTTTGAGTGCAGTATTACGTAGAAATTATTACAGATCATTACATATTTGGTCAGCATGGCCATTCATTTTTGCTTACCGCCAACAAAAGACACATTTATTTGCACATGCTAAGCTCGGGGTGGTTTCCATGCAACGATGGCTTTCGATGCCATAAAATGTATGTTTATAGCAACCTCCTCTCCCACGAAGCATCAACTATGAAAAAGAAAAACAAATGATAATTTGAATAAAATCTTCAAAGCATTGAGACAAAATACCAAGGTATCATGTCTTTCATAACTATAAATACTCCTACTGATATCTGTGCAAGGCAGAAAATTAACACTGTAGCATTACAGTGGTTTCATGGTGATTTGCGTTTTTTAAAACCCAATGAACAAACCTAAGATTCATTAATTCCGAGAGCTTTATAGGAAGGACCACTGATAGTTTCATTTTCAAATATATCAACTGTCTCAAATAATATCAGTTCAATCATATATAACAATGACAGGGATAGATAACAGTCTGCTTTGAGTAAGGGAGGGTGGGTAAGGGGATGCATCCTGGCACATATTCTCTGTCAACTAAATGACAATATTTGAACATACTTAGACTACTGAGAAGACAAGCAGCATGTAAGAAACATTAAAAAAATATATATATCATGCCAATGGAGAAACAGAATTGAAGACTTGCACATATTCATTATTTACTATGAAGTTAATATACCTCAAGCATACTGTGTTGAATGTATGTGATGAATAAGACAAAGCCCCTACTTATGATCTGGTTTAAGGAAACAGCAAATAAAAAGGCAAAATGGAAATAACTATGATAGGGTGATTGAACCAATCAAGATTCTTTTTCAAGCAAAAATTGACGCTAGCTGAATGGAAAAAGAATTTGTTGAAAGGTTCTCTTAGCTCAGAGTCTCTAGAAAAGAAGGGAGGAATACAACTGCAAGTCCACCACTCAAGCCCTCAGAATCTATCTACTTACGGACACCACCACTCTCTGGATACCATAACCAGTACCACCCCTGAAAACACAAGCTGTTGTCAAGGGCATGAGAATGAGTTCTCCACATCACAGTCCCTTTTCATTGCTCACTCCTAACTCAACCCTCAGGCTGAAGTGAATGACTATCCTAGATGACATCCAGGTTGTTAGGGCATGGTACCAAGAAGCAGTATCTGTCCTCCGTGGCTTCTGGCAGGCAATGGACTCTGGCTCCAAACAAAGCCCATTTAACAGGAAATTCCCCAAACATGAAAATACTCATATGCTGAGAAAGCAGGGAAAAAAAAAAACATATTTATATACATACATATATATGTATATGTATACGTATATATGTATATGAATATGTGTATATATATCAATCATGGTGTTAATGGAGCCCATGGACTAAATGACTAAACCAGCCAGTTTTGTAGGACCAGTGAGAGCTTCCTAGAGCTATGATGTCCAAACTGAATAATGAAGAGCAAAAAAGGATAAAGGGATAGAGAGACATGTAAGGAGAGGAATGGCCTGTTTTTCTTTAAAAAACATTTTTTTCTAAAAGTTTTATACTTTTATACTCTAGATTTAAGTTCACTATCCATTCTAAGTTAATTTTTACATAAGGTGTAGTTTAAGATGACATGTGTAATGTGTGTGTGTGTGTGTGTGTGTGTACACTTTTAGTGTGGTTTGCTGCTGTTGGTGGGTTGTTTGTTTTTGCCTCTGGATATCTAATTGCCCCAGCACCATTTGTTGGAAAGGTTATCCTTCCTCTTAGGAATTGTTTTTGACTTTATAAAAATCAGTTAAACCTATTTGTGGGTTTATTTCTGGGATCTCTATTCTGTTCTAATGATCTATGTGTCTATACTTCAGCCAATATCACACAGTATTGATTACTGAGACAAGAGAGTAGACTACAATATGAGTGTGTATGATTCTTCCCACTTTATTCTTCTTTGTCAATATTGTTTAAGCTATTTTAGGGTCTGCGCATTTCCTTATAAATCTTTGAATAACCTTGTCTCTTGCTACAAAAACCTTTCTGGCATTTTCATAGGATTTGCATTAAACTTATGATCGATCTGGGGGAAACTGACATTTTACTATACTGAATCTTCCAATCCATGAACATTTACATTTAGATTTATTTAGGTTTTCATTGATTTCTGATTTGAGATCTTTCCTCATTTCTAGTATAAGTATTTATTGCTGCAAATTCCCCTCTGAGCACTGCTTGAGCTGCATCCCATAAATGATATGTTTTCTTTTTTATTAACATTTAGTTCCATGTATTTTTTCATTTCCTTTGAGACTTCCTCTTTGACCCATGGCTCATTTAAGAATGTGTTGTTTCATTTCCACAAATTTATAGAGATTTTCCTTTTGTTTATATTATTAATTTCAAGTTTGATTCCATTATGGTCTGAGAACACACTATGATTTCAAATCTTGTAAACCTACTGAGGTTTGTTCTATGGCCTAAGTTATGGTCTATCTTGGTAAATGTTCCATAAGAACTTGAAAGAAATGTATATTATGCTGTTGCTGGGTGTATGTTCTAGATACGTCATTAGATTACTATTGGTTGTGGTGTTCAGATTTTCTGTATCATTGCTGATTTTCGGTCTGGTACTTCTAGCAGTTTTCTGAGAGAGAGCTGTGACATCCCCAACTATAAATGTAAATTTTTAAAAATTTCTCCATTCAGCTGTTTATTTTTGCTTGATTTATTTTGAGCTTCTGATGTTTATAGTTTGCTGCCCCCTGATTTAGAAACTTTTTTCATACCCTAGAGTAAAATAAATTCTAAACTGATTAAACAACCTGCTAAAAAAAAAAAACTAGAAACAGGTGTATCTGGAGAAGATGGAGGGGCAGGAAGCACCAGCTGTCTGTTTCTCCACCTGGACAATAACTGCATTGGAAAATTTATCTGATATCACTGTTTTCAAACTCTGGAACCTGTTGAAGGCTTGCAACTTCCAGGGAAAGGCCTAAATGGTTAATTTCCAGCTCTTAGCACAGTAGGAGCTATCCATACACCACCACCAACCACATGGCAGGCAGCTGTGTACCTCTTCCTGGAGTAGCTGCACACAGCTTGTGGGAGCTAGAGTAGGTAAAAAAAGGACCCTGTCCTCCACATATAAGGGATCTGTGCTCTACTGATTGCTGCTTCTAATCACAGAGGTATAGACAAAATGCTGGGCAGACGTTGTTCTTGCACCTCCCTCCATTTTTGTAAGCCTCTGCCTCTCCAGCTGAAGTGACTTCCAGGAGATTTAAAAGGCCAATCTTTTTCTTTTTCATCACCCTTCATTTCTTGCTTTTCCCCTTTCAGGAGCCTCACATTAAAGATTAGGACATTCGAAAACAACTGCATGTTTGGAGGAAAATAAAGTGACTTGTGTATGTCTAAGAAAAGGCTCAGAAAAGACATAAGAAGGCATTAAGATTATAACTCAGCCTGATCCTTAGTACAGAGACAGCCTACAAAACTTTTGTTAAAAACAACAAACTCTGGGAAAAGGGGAGAATCTGATCCAGAGTTACCACATTACTAGATTCAAATGGCCAGTGTTCAGCAACAAAAGAAATTACAAGGAATACGTCAAAAGAAAAAAATAATTCAACAAAATCTCTCCCTGAAAAATACTTTATGGCAGATATATTAGACAGAATTTAAGAAAAACTTTCCTCAAAATGCTCAGAGAACTAAAGGGAGATGTGGACAAAGTCAAGAAAATGATGTGTGAACAAAATAGAAATATTAATAAAGATAAAAAGCCTTATGAAAAACCAAATAGAAATTCTAGAGCTAAAAGGTATAATAATTGAAATTAAAATTTCACTAGAAGGCTTCAATGGCATATTTGAGTTGGCACAGTAATCAGTGGACTTGAAGATAAGACCATGGAAATTATCAAGGCTGAGGAGCAGACAGGATAAAAGAATGAAGAAAAGCAAAGAACAGCAACCTGAGGGACACATCAAGTGGAACAACATGTGCATCCTGGGTGTCCAGAAGGAAAAGAGAGAAAGGGGCAGAGAAAATATATGAAGAAATATTGACTGAAAACTTCCCATGATGATAGACATGAATATAAATATCCAAGAGGCTTAACAAACTCCAAGATGAACTCCAAGAGACTCACACTGAGACGCATTACAGTCCAATTTTCAAAAGACAAAGACAAAGAGTGAATCTTGAAAGTGGTAAGAAAGGAGTAAATCATCACATATAAGCAATCATCAATAAGATTATCTACAGATTTCACATCAGAAACTTTGGAGGCCTAAACCAAGGGGGCCAATATATTCAGAATGCTAAAAGAAAAAAAAATGTCAACCAAGAAATCTGTATCTGGCAAAATTGTCCTTCAAAATTGAGAAAGAAATCAAGACATTCTCAGATAAACAAAAGCTGAGGCAGTTCCTGACTACGAGACCTTCTCAGCAAGAAATGCTCAAGGCAGTCCTTCCAGGAGAGATTAAACAGTACTCCAAAGGCATATGGAGAAATAAAGATCTCAAAAAAGGTAACTATATGGGCAATTATAAAAGCTGATGTTATTGTTAACAATGGTTTGTAACTGTATTTTTTGTTTTCTACATGATTTAAGAGATTAATGTATTTAAAGAAAGAAATTATTAGTGAAAAGCGAGTATTACTATAATTTTGGTTTGTAACTCCAAAACTTGTTTCCTACATAATTTAGGAAATTAATGCATTTAAAGGAATTACCAGTTTATGTTTTGGGGCTCACAGTATGTAAAGAGGGAATTTTGTAATATCAACAACCAAAAGTAGTGACAACGAAGCTGTAAAGGAGCAGAGTATTTGTATGTTATTAAAGTTAAACTGCTATAAATTCAAATTAAAATGTTTTAACTTCAGGATGTTAAATGTAATTCCCATGGTAACCACAAACAGCTATAATACACACAAAAGGAAATTAAGAAGGAATTTTAAGTTTTCACTTCAAAAAAATCAACAAAACAGAAAAGAAGACAAAAGAGTGCAGGAAATGAGGTACAAAAAAGCATTAAGGCATATAGAAAACAAATAGCACAATGACAGAAGTTCCTCCTTATCAATAATTACTTTAAATGTAAATAGATTAAACTCTCCAATTGAAAGATTAACAGGATGAATAAAAACACATGATCCAAATCTATGCTATCTACAAGAGACTCACTTTATA